CTTGCAAAGTTAAGACTGACATTCAGTGCTAAAGAAAATTCCACTGTTTTCACATGATGGCGGCTGTGCTAGGGGGAGGGAAGGACTGGGGCAAAAAGGCACAGCATTAAGAAATGCAGAGCACGAAAAGGGAAATGCGTGCCCAAACCACCTCAAGATGATTCCGCTGTCTATTCTTGTGCAATTCTTTCTTTTGAAAACTGGAACATTTTACTCGCTGCTGTACAAAACACTTCTCACTTCTCATAATGCCAGGAAACAGATGATACAAAAGCTTTGGAAGGAATTTGGACTTGTAAAAATAAGCTATTCTGTGTTTTCCAACGTGAGGTGTTTGATGTGATGAAATACTGAAAAGCAACACAAAGTTTACAGTTGAGGTGGTCTCTTTTTATTTATTTTATTACTCCTCTATTTCAAAAAGAAGTAGCTGGAAAGGCTAAAGGACGTAAAGTCTGGAGGTGATAAATCCGTAAATCTTACTAATAAAAGAAGCTTAACGGAGAAGTTAACGCTACATTAGGGGGATTATTTGCAAATTCACAAAAAGTACTACTGCAACATCATAAACCACCACCTGCAGCCGCTTAAGACAAATCTAACTTCATGTTATTGTTTCCTTGCGTTGTTTTTCTTATTTTTCACCTTAAAGGCTGCCCCCCCTTCCTTGCCATCTCAGCCTTCCCCACTCCCACAGTCGGAGGATGGGTCTGCCTGTGCCGGAGCTGCAGCAAAGGGATTCCTTACGGGGATGGCGGGAGGCGCTTTCTGCCATTACAGAACACGGAGGGTGCACAGGGCCTGCTGGGTGCAAATTGGCACATGGATTAGCCTCATGTAAAAAAAAAAAAAGAATAAAATCATAAAAATACAGGTGGGGGGTAAGAGCTAGTGACCCAAATGAAGCTGCTTAAAGCAGAGACAAGGCTTTATTTTTCGTGAAATACCGATTGTTAGCGAGTTTTCGCGGGGCCGCCCCTTTCCGACGGGCGGATCGGCGCCTCTCCGGCGCGGCGGCTCCCGGAGGTGGCCGCGGGGCTGTCCCGGGCCGCTGCACAACCTCCCCCCCGCCCCCGGAGGGCGCTG